GTCGGCCGGAGGGGAATGCCCTACAGCCGCCCACAGAGGAGGAAAAGGGGTGGGGGAAGATTTATTGATGGGTGTGCGCAGCATGACGGAACCAGACAGGAAGCTCTCACCTGGGGACAGGTGGTCCTCCCGGTGGGCGGAGCTGCAGGAACGACGCGCGGTCTGCCGTGGCCAGAAGGTCTGAACGACCACCGAGCTCGTGAGCGGCGGGTAACAGGGTAACAGGTTCGCAGCTTGTTCCGGGCGCGGACAGAATGAGTTGCACGTCTGGTGATAAGCAGGGCTGGGGAGAGGGATGCGAACGGCTGTGTGGCGTGTGCGTGGACCACAGAGACACTTACAGCCCTCGGAGGTGCCCCCCAGGGCTCCCGCTGCGGAGGGGGCTCGGCCGCCCGAGGACACTCCAGGGACTGGTGGCTTCAACGACAGACATCCACTTCCTCGCAGCTGGGGAGGCTGAAGGACCAAGACGGGGTGCCGTCCAGCTTGGCTTCTGCTGAGCCCCCTGGTCCCCGCCTGCATTAGCCCCTTCTCTGTCCCGCGTGCCCTGTCCCTGCGCGCGCGCGGAGAGCGCCCCGCTGTCTCTTCCCCTTTTCGCGGCACCTCGTTTTATTTACTTATTTTTCCCTCCAGCTTTTAGATACCGACACTTAATCTTCCTCTCATAAAAACACCAGTCCTTTGGGGGTAGGGCCCCCCACCGATGGCCTCATTAAGGCTCCATCTCCAGCCCCAGAGAGACCGTGGTTAGAGTTTGGGCACACGAATTCGGAGGGACACAGTCCGGGGCCACGACGACGCGTCCTGTGCGCGTGGGTCTCTTCCCCTGCGCCCCGGGCCTATGCGCACAGGAGCGGCAGCGGGAGGGAAAGCGCACGGCTCAGTGACACGGGGACCTGGCTCCCGTCCAGGCCCAAGGCCCGGTCTGCGGCGGCTGATCCCCGCTGAGACCCTGAGTGGCGCCGCTCCGCAAGGGAGTTGGCCAGGGACTCGGTAGCACTTGGCCAGGGACTCGGTAGCACGTAGGGGACCAGCGGCCGTTCTCACCAGGGAGGGACCAGGATGAGCCTCATTCTGATACCTGCTCCCAGCATGGACTGGCCGTCCCTGCCCCCAACACTCCGCCAGGACCAGCGTTCACAGACTTGCGAATCTGTA